GGTTCTTGCTTGGTTGTTATGCTTGACAATTCGTAGTTTGGAAACAACACAATCAAGCGCAGCTATTCCGCTGCAATTCACTTGATCATGTGGTTGTTGGTATTGTTGGGTTTTTGCTGATAATTCTATTTTCAGAATGTTTAACAAAAATGAAAATAGTGGAAAAAAGCAAACGATAATGTACAAGGCGTAGGTAGCACGGTGCATAGGCAACTGGCTGAGTCAGTGGGATCGTCGGTTCGAATCCTACTGAAAGAAGTCTGATGAGGAAATGTGGTGATTTCCGAAATAGCTATCACTTCTACCATTTTTTCAAATTATTGTTCCTTTTCCACAATAAATTTTCATTTAAAAAACGGCCTCGAGCTCAATATAAATTGTTGAATATAATTGTTATAAGGCCAAAAAAATAACAAAAACAAATAACTTAAGCACGAGCACACCTAAAAAGTTAAACATGCTAAAAATAGAATTATTAGAAAAACCCAACAATACCAACAACCACATGATCAAGTAAATTGCAACGGAATAGCTGCGCTTGATTGTGTATAATGTATATAATGTATATAATAGGTTAAGTTAATTATAACAATATGATTATCATACATGGGCAAATCTAAAAAACAGGTAACCTTTGTGTTATTTAGCTTTATTTTCACTGTTGTAAACTATATGAAGCTGGTGGCTTTTGGATATAATTCACTGACGTATACTTGAAGCCTCAAAAAAAAATTTGACCAATTTGCTGCATAACTTTTGAATTATAGGTGTTTAAATTAAAAAAATAATGAGAACAAGTGAATTTTTTATGTATTTTTAAAAGGGGCACAATTATTTATATCAAATTAGCTTCGATAAACATCGAAAGAGCTTTTAAGATTGATAACTGCTCATTAGATTTCGAGTTTGATTGACTCTCTTGGTACGCGATTTAATATTTATGTGCCCGATTCGGTGATCAAGTAATTTGTTTAAGTACTTCAGATGCATCTCTCATTCTTGCTGACTGTAATTTTATTGTAGTAGCTAGAGTCAACTCTCCCGTATCACTACAGTTCCGTAAATTTTCGGTTTTACGTCTCTTCGTTCTATGGCTGGACTCAACCAAAGGTTTGGTAGGCCGTCCTGGAAGACTGATCGTTTTTGGTGTAGAAAAGGATCCTTGAATCCATTCCAGATTATTTTTTATAAAAGTATCGGCTATTCCATGGGCTTTTTTTTAATTGGCTTTTAAATTTCGCAAAACTATTTTTACCACAGTATTTCATTCTTGGAATAATTTGCCGACTTCAGTTCTTGTTTTTGGGCCGCATCTATCTTTGCATTCATTGAAGAAATATTGCAGCATTCGGAAACTCGTAAAATTTCTCCGCGAACTATGAACTTGTCACACTGCGGATTTTTATTGAAGCTAGAATATCTTCGTGTTTAAGCATTTTTAAGTGCACACGCGGTAGCAAATAAATATCTGATATTTGAGTGTTTAAGCCGTTTGTATTTTATATACTGAAAATAATGAATGTCAAAACTGTTTTATGCAATGCCTAATGTTTTTGATGTAATCAATTCGCGAATATTCGAGCCTACTCTCTATTAAAAAAATTCTTAGGATCTCATTGCCCTAAAAACTGAGTATTCAAAAGCTTCTTACGATTTGATTGCCTTAAAAATTTATTTGCATATTTTTACTAGAACTTACCGTCAATCAGAGATTTTTTTTCTAAATGTATGAATGATAACTATGTATTTTCTCCTCTGTAACTCTCCAAACTTTTCAATTCAACCCATCTTTAGCTTTGTTTCCAAACTACGAATTGTCAAGCATAACAACCAAGCAAGAACC